ATTCCCAACCTTAAAATACTCGTCTCAGTACTCGCAAACAAGAGTTTCTCAAAATAATGTAGTCTATTGCTAGTTTTTGCCATATATCCAATCCTTAAAACCAAATGAGAGCATGGGTTATGCTATTCCACATGTATTGCTACCCCATTTTAGTCTTCTCTTTAATATGTAAGTAAAATGTTGAGAATTAAAACCCAGAATTTATGATAAATAAATAATTACTCCCTCATATTTTTAATATTTGTCATTCTAGCTTAATTGATCATTTGTTAAATAAATGTCGTTTTAGCCATTTTATTTATATTTTTCCCTTTTAACCCCTTCATTAATACCCATTGTCTCTTCATATTCCCAAGAACATTCATCCACAATTGTCAATTGTGTCATTAAATAGGGTTAAACTTGAAAAGAAAAATATTTCTTAATTAGTGTGTTGATAGTCAGAATGACAAATATTTAAAATATGAGAGAATATTTTATAGTCTTTATCGATCGTTGCAAAAAGTTGGTGAAACAAAAGGTTTTGGTGAAGAATCACATCATGTAATAATTGAATACGCAATATGGCCATTTTATCCAATAGTCCTCGCCATGACCTCAAATCAATGCATTATAAGTGTTTCTTGTTTTTTGGTGAAAAAATGGGCATGGAGTATGGAGAGGAAATGGGACCGGTCCGATTCGTATCATATTTTTCAGAACTTGGACTTGATCCGAAATAATATAATATAATCCGTTCAGTTAAGACATCAACTTTTGCGGGAATCGAAAAAGAACCGAAACGAGATATAACGGTTTGGTTGATACGGTTTCTCGATTAACCGAATTGCACAAATAATCGATAACGATTTTCAGTTAAAACTTGATCAGAAAACTACTATTCACATACAAAATATATCCAAAAAACTCTAGAACCGTAATACAACAATGAAGAATGGAAAGCGGTTAGTACGTATAAAATATATTTATATAAAAAAAAGCTATGCATATTGTACATATGTAGTCGGTTTCTCGGTTAGTACACATATATTCGGAATAGGAACCGAGAATTGGGACCAATTTGTGTGAAAAATAACCGAACAATTATTTGTTTTTTAAATAATTGGACCGAGCCGACTATTTATGATTCACGGTTATTTTCGGTCCTGTCTAGTTCAAATTTCACAGTTTCCATATTAAAACCACAACCCTAGTTGCACTACCCACATAAAGGTTCAAGTTGTCATATCACACACGAACACATATCTAACTTGTTGGATCCAAAAGTGTGAAATGTTTTCCAAGTTTACATACCAACACGGGTCCAAGCATGATATATATATATATATAGGGATGTGGTTCAAATGAGAATCAAGTTCTAGCGTGAGAACCGCTATTTATAGTTGCAAGTAGTGCTATAATTTATTGTGTTTTAATGCTATTTTTAACATGGATTTATTTTCTTAAAAATAGCAACACAATTTATAATAGCACTTGTAAAAATGGTAGCACCATGTGATATTAAAATAGCATCATACACAATAAAAACTAGCATCAAATACGGTTCTCACGGTTCTCACACCAGAACTAGTTTTTATTTGAACCACTCCCTATATATATATATATGTATATATATATATGGTAATCAGCCTATTAAGGCATGTAACAGTCTAGTGATGACTCTAATAATAGGAAGAAAACAGTGAGGATGAGGCATTTTTCTGGTGTTAACTTCTCCACTTGATAACTTCATCTGAAACATTAAGGATAAATCAACATGTCCAGATATGTTATATCTAAAAACATTCACATGAGTTGGGTTAAAACTCAAATCCAAACCTAATTCAGTTTAACTTTTATTGTGGACCGTAATTTTATAAATAAATTTGCAACAAGAAAATTATAAAAATTGGACCCAAAACCGACTTACACACCATTCAAGGTCGTCCAAGTCCAACGTACAATCCAATTGTCAATGACAAGGAGCAACCAATCAGGCCCAAATCCAGGTCCACTAATAGTATAAGAAGCTACGAAATAAAATTTGTAATTAACATGCACGGTCATGTCATGATCGCAATTTAACGAAATGAGAGCTCCATAATTAAGCAATAATCAAACCTTTCACATGGACCTTAATTGACTACGGTCAACCATATATACCAAATATAAGTACTATTAATTTAATGAGATTATTTTTCTAGTCAACTTATTCTGTAGTTAATGTCATTTATCTACACTAAGTTTTAGTTGCAACTTTCTTATGATTAATGAGGATATTTTTTTTTTCAATAAACATTTGTTGTTTGTAATTTTATCGTGAAACAATAAAAAGTGATAATCGGATAAACTAGAATGTTTGGCAAGAAATATAAATTCTTGACTTGGTAGGTCAGCTGCAGAGAGGATGGTTTAATTGCTCATTAATAATTAATGCTCATTTTTTATCTTCTTGGCCAATCCAGAAAATGTTGGTGCTTATATGGTAAAAAAAAGTACAAGCAGCACAGCTTAAAGCACAAATGTACAAAGCCATACTGGTCCTCAAAAGAATCCGAGTTTTTATTCTATCAGTGTAGCAGTAAATATTGAAAATAAAAACAAAAATGTAACTCGATCCAAATTTCTTTTATATTATTTATTCGTGTTATTTTATTTTGTACCTTCAATATTCCAGCATTTTATGTATTTATTTATTTATTGGTTGACCTTGATTTGTTAATACTTTGAAATGTGGGCATTTTCTGAAATAGTAACATCAACATTGAATGGATGTCAATAGACCACTTCATCCTCAAATCTCACCACTGGTTCAAAGATTAAAAAAAATAAAAATTGAATAATTCTAATTAACATATCTATGTTAATTAGTACATCACAGTTGTTTTTAATATAATGGAATATATGAATAACTATTAATGTGTAAAATCATATGACTATGTGATTGTGTATTGTACAAACTACAATTAGTTAAGTAAGTATGTTGGTGTAACAATAAATCATGTTTTGCCCTCTCAAATAATGTCCTCTGCGGTACATGTGGAACGAAAGCAAAAATTATTCACAAACATTGCGGAAAGTGATAAATAATTATTACGGGTTTAAGTTATTTAATCATTCATTTAAACATTTACAACTATTGATTTTTTTTACTAGTTTTAGTACATAATATATTTTTTTTTTTCTATTTATCAATTCTTTCACGAAGTGTATTTCAATCGTGACAGAAACTGAGAGAAAATGGGTGCTGGCCCACTACCATGAAGGACATCATAAAAGAAGGAAAAAGCTCATATGAAGCCCAAATGGGGTTCCATCCCAGGGTGCTGGCCCACTACCATGAAGGATACCATGAAAGAAGGAAAAATCTCATATGAAGCCAAATGGGGTTCTATCCCAAAACCAATTGGTGGAAGGAGGAGTAGCCCATTAGTCTTATAAGGTGGGTCTATTTTCTATATATGAGTGGGTCTATTTTCCATATATGAACGACGTGGGACAATTGGGGGAAAAGTCTATTTTCCATATATGAACGATGTGGGACAACTGGGGGAAAAAGTCTATTTTCCATATATGAACGATGTGGGACAACTGGGGGAAAAGTCTATTTTCCATATATGAACGATGTGGGACAACTCAAACAACTGGGGGAAAAGTCTATTTTCCATATATGAACGATGTGGGACAACTCACAAGAACGATCCGAAACTGGGGAAAAATGGGTGCTGGTCCACTATCATGAAGGACACCATGAAAGAAGGGAAAAACCCATATGAAGTCTAAATGGGATTCCATCCCAAAACCAATTGGTGGAAGGAGGAGTAGCCCATTAGTCTTATAAGGTGAGTCTATTTTCTATATATGAACGATGTGGGACAACTCACAAGTGATATTCTAACAAATCGAAATCCAAGATGAGGTTGATCTAATTTAAGTACTAATATATCGTTTTATTTATTTAGTTTTGTAATCTTATTTTCTGCGAAAAGGTATAATGCTCTGCTAATTAGACGTTTGCAACATCTAGAAAGGGTACAAAGTCTAGGGGTCCTCTACTCTTTGCATTGGACATTTAGACATTTGGACTATAGCCTGCTGTGTGCATGTGATTCAAAGTACGAAACAACAACAATAATAATAATAATATAAAATGAAAAAAAAAAAAAATGAAGCAGATCAGATTTAATATTTACATTGTACAAGAATATTTCTTGAAAATAGAATTTGAAATTGGGCTTAGATCCTCTGCAACATTTCCCATCAATGTTCTCTCCTTGAACAAATCGTCTATTTGGCTAATCAATATTTTATTTTACCAATTCCCTCACTCTCTTGATTTAGGGTTTCAACATATAAACGAGTCTTTTTTCTTATTGTTCCTTTAATTCTTTCTCAGGGGTTATGTGTATTAAAAGATGTGAGAGCTAAAGACACTTGGTCATATGTTTGACCATTTGCCAACAAGTCTTACTAATTATTCAATTTANAATTAAAAAAAAAAAAAAAAAAAAAAAAAATTTGTAAGAACCTAATTAAATTTCAACCATGTTGATTAATATAGATATGTAACGAAAGGTTTATGAAAAAGGCATGGTAAGAAAATGCATGCTAGCTAGCTCTAGCTGCCTTGTTGGACAAATCTTTATGAAGAGAAAAAAGGCAATTCAATGCTCAAACTTTTGAGCAGTCAGTCAGATACCACTGATCTATCACATTTTTGTGACATTTCATAGGTATTTGAGAAAGTTAAAAACCAAAGTGCACGCAGCTTTATTTTGATATTTTTTTTTTAATTTTATATATTTTGTAGCCTCATAAATTTGACTTGCATATCTGTTAATAATTAATAAGTTATTTATGAAATATTATTAGATGCAAATTGGGTCATTGTCCTAATTACACGGCTTTGGGTGGTTTAAGGGCACATGTCTACTTTTGGACTCAACAGGTCAACAAATGTGATTTTTTTTTTTTAAGATTTTGATTGAATTTAAAATTTTAAAAATAATGTTAAACTTCCTTATGTTGTTGGGTAAAAGTTACTTAATAAGCTTCTTATTACTTGGTCGAAAAGATACTTTTTATGTTATTTGGTAAAAATTCACAATAATATTTTGAGTTAATGTATTTTTACAAATAGATTTACCAACTGATTTATCAAATAACGTGTTGACAAAATTTTGATTGTTGATTTTGTTAATATTACAATGAAAAAATTAATAAATATTTGTAAATTAGTACAATTTATCTCTCTTTGATCAACTGTTTACTGATCAGTCCCTTGTATTTAGAATCAAAATGCATATTCACAATTTCACATGTGTTATTTTTTGATTTCTTGATTAGTCACGATGGGCCTCTAATTCCTTTCACGCCAAACACGGCCTTAAGTAGTAACATGACTGCCAAAAATAACAATAATAATAAGAAATATAGAAGTAAGAACTAAGAACAATACATGTGGTGCAATAAGCGACCGTTTTTGGCCTTTTTCTCGCAAATTTCACAAGTTGTTAATCACACACAGCTTGGTACGAATATTATTGCATGTGCCAAAATAATAACGTACATAGACATACAAATATATATAGCTACTGTACCATAATCCTGCAAAATTGTTTGTACAGATTGATAGTACAAATACATTTATACCCTCTTTTACAATTTGGCAGACAAAACTTTTTATAATTTCAAAATATTAATGAATTACAAAGTTCAATGTCAACAGTGGGCGGCTTTTGCCCTTGTCTTAAGGCCACCAATTGCAATAACCACACTTTTCACAATCCCAATCTCCCAATTGCCAACATCTTGGTAAATGCAATTTTCTACCAGATATATAACACTGTATATATTACTCCCTTTTATTTTTATTATTTGTCATTCTAGCTTAATTGATCATTTGTTAAATAAATATCGTTTTGGCTATTTTGTACATATTTTTCTATTATTACCCTCATCTAATTAATAAATACACTACGTCTTTTCATATTCACTCTCCATCTTTTCTTAAAACATCAATCTCTATCCTCATTAACGAGGGTTATTATTGGCAAAAAAAATATTCTTAACTATTGTGCAACTTCTCAAAACGACATTTATTAAAAATAGGAGGGAATAATTGTTAAGATATTAATAGTTTTTAAATATATATATATATATATATATATATATATATATACACTTTAAAATAAATATCACAAAATGTCTAACATCTACTAACACAAAAATATGTTTTATTTGTAATGAGTCGTAGCTAGGACATGACGCATTGAATTATAGTACTCTGGCAAATTAGTTGGTTATTTATGAAGCTTTGAACAAAATATAAAACATTTCAGACTATTTTTTCTAAATATTGCATTAATCATAAATGCTCTTCAAATTAAAGAAATTAATGTATTTTTTTCTTCGAAACGATAGATATTATTACTCAAACAAGAATTTACAAAGCGTGGGCTAAGTAGCCCAAAACTACCATACGGCACACTAGAAGAACACCTAGATCAAGAGTCCTAGAGCATAAACACTACTAACCAAAGATGAGAGATTTTGCTATTGGCAGCAACTAAAGCACGGAATCCGATAGTATTATTCTCATCTAAGCTGCCACAGGGCAAACAAAAAGCAACAAGCCACTGAACCAAAAGACTTAGTCTGCTGCAACAAAATTAAAAGCACTACAACAAAAACTAATTAACCTACAACCAACTGCCAAGCTCCACAACAACAATTAAAAAGGAAGAAAACAAGCAAAACATAATAGAAAGACAACCAAATCAGTTTAAAATAACATCATCCAAACCCATAACCCATTATATAATTTGAATTCCAGATGCACAGAATTCCCTCCATTCACTGCAAGTCATATTTACCACTGAGTGCTCAGGTCTTCTTAAGTTGTTGAAAGTAATCTGGTTCCGTGATTTCCAAATTCCCCATAAAATGTATGCTGTTAATTGAAGTCTGGCTCCTGAGGTATTGGAGTTACTCACATTGCATAACTTTGTCCACCAGTCTTTAAAGCATTTTGAGTCAATTTCATTCTCATCCCAACTAATGGGGGAGAGTTCCTAATAAGTAGAGCTCTTGGACATTGAAAAAACACATGCTCCAAATTTTCTTCAGCTTCTCCACAAGCAGTAAAATTCCTTTTTTGAGCAGATTAGTCTTAACAGGCAATAGTTTAGCAGAGCACTCCAAAGGAAATGCTCGATTTTGCCTTTAATCTTGAGCTTTCAAGTCCGGCTTCTCATTTTTTTGCTTCATCTTGCTCAGTGCTTTTCTCTGCTACATCCATGAGCTTCCATTTTCCCCCCACCATTTTAGTCCACCACTATCCCAAACCAGATAATCCTCTCTGCTATGATCCAATCCTTTGATGCTGAGGATAGCCTCACTTTTTTACTTGGAGAATGTGTTGATCA